GTAATCCTTACAAATAAGAAAAGCGGCCCCTGTTTGCGCCATCCAGCCGTTGAAATATTTTTACCGAAGTGACTTTTTGTTTCAGGGTCAAGTTCGGCCGTGTGGCATTCATCAAGTAGTGTTCTTGATTGATCACATGTCATGTTTTCTCGATCAGAGGCGCTGCACCGTGAAAGACTCATTTGATAATCGCTTGTCACTTACTATTAGAATAGCCACTGAAAACTACAGTACTCACTGTAATTAATCGGAAAATAACGAAGGAAGCGAATTCGCGTTTTTTTTCTGCTATAGCACTGTTCTTTTCACTTTTTTCTCCATGAAAAAATCACATCGAATGATGTCGCGGTGAACTCCATAGATTGAAAAAACCTATTGATTCTAATAAAGAGCGATGTTTGTAAATCTCAGGGGATGTTTGAACAAGAAGTGGAGACCAAATCTGCAAGCTGGACACCTGCAAGTTTATACTTGAAGTACTCGTGGGTCCTCGTAGCGTGTCAAAAGGTGTGGAATAAGCCCGCCCCCGGCGCGTTATCTACCAGTAGTGATCGGTTAGTGATGTTTTCAATAAAAGTGGCAGGAAAAAACGGGCGGGCTTATTCCATGCCTCCTGACTCCGCCCCGGGTATGTGACAAGAGAATCGTAATTCGCCGCGCTGTGGGCGTCGCGTGCGACGTCGCGCCCGCAAATGACGATGGTTCAGGTAGTAGATGGCGACAACAGGCAATTCAGAACCGAAAATGGTCATGAATGTCTACAATGACGGGGTCTACATGAAGTTCGGTGCTCCAATCGACAGGTTAACACGAGTTAAGAAAACGCCGCGCCCATCGCCGCGCGCGGCGGAGCGGCAAAGTACGATTCTCTTGCCCGTCTCCCCACCGCCCCGTTTGATTGCGACTATATCCATTGGAGCACAGCAGATGTTGGTCTTGTGCGCATTTGTAAAGGAATGCTGTTCGGTCGCAACATTGCCCGATTGAAATAACGGCACTGAGAAAAAATGCTGCACGATCTCAGAAGATTCGATTTCCTGTCCAAAACACTTCTTAGCAACACGGCAGCGATTGCGATAATTTCACTGAAGATCCGACCGTTCCTTGGAGAACGTGGAGATTATTAGATTGCGCTCTGTATTCCGTGGGCTGACCAAAACCGACATTTCATCGACGGTTTGTCACATAAAATACCCAATGGACGATCCCGTTGAAAACGAAACAGGACAAAAGCGGGGCAAGGAACTACGTTGAAACAGACGGCTATAAATCATTTTCGGTATCAGCGAGCGGGTTCTTCTGCAATAACAAGAAACCTGTATGTGCTGGAAGTCGACCCGCAACACCCATGAAATGTCATTGAAACTTTTATTATTGGGGTAAATGCTCTTCAGTGTGACACGGTTGAATTCAGTACATAGCATGGAGCATCTAGAGCCTTCACTCAGCAGTGGGCTGAAGTCGTCCCGCTCACTTGAATCACTCCAGTCTGAGCGCTGAATTGGATATATTGGTCTTTCGCTGAGACGATAGTATCAGAACTAAGCAACGACTCTGACCCTTTTCCCGGAATCCCGCTAATAATCCAACGGACCATTGGATTTGCGAGATGGTTAACGTGGCAAGAACTTAGGGATACAGACTTATTCCTACTCTTCCTGCTCCCTGTTTTTAGTAATCGGCAACTACAGAACGATGGCAGGGTCGTTTGACCAGGGAAATTGCCTTCTGTGTGCAAGGTCGTATCACAATTCGCGTATTGCCCAGGAATGTTTCTACAGTTGGCGACACTTCCTGGAAGGCTGGACATGTCCAGTACGGATGAAGACAAAGCCAGAGACGAACTTCAGGAGAGCTGCTATTCTAAGGAGACGATGTAATTCCGCGGAGCTTCGCTACAAGTCTCTCCCTAAGGTTTCACTCAACTCATGCGCTTTTCACGTAAATTTTACAAATATGGTTCTCGTATGGTAAATATGTATATAGTTGATAACGGTCGCAGTTAGTCGGAACGGTGTCAGGAGGAGCGGAGTGAGCCGCCTCCTGCTGCTTTGCTCAACCAGTGGTGATCGTTTAGTGATCGAAGAAAGGAACGGGAAAGGGGACAGTTAGGAGAAAACACCAATGGCATAACTGAAGCTCATCCCACTATTCTTGGGACCGCCTTGACTGATTACGAAATTGTCAGCAGTGCACGCGTACCTGCTTGGCGGAGTCTGCGAGGTTGGTGTGATGGGCTCTTGGACCGGAGCACATTATCCGCTGTGTAAAAAAACAGCGGGAGAGGGTCGCATTTAGCCGCGGCTTGGCGGACTCCTACTTTTGGTAGTTTGTAAAGAGGAAATATATGAGAAGGTAGGCACTATTTACCGGCTTACGGCCCCTGATCATCCGAAAAAGCCAAGTCTGCTCTCGGAGAAAGAAGCCGTTCAAAAACTGGCTTGGTTACGGAGGATTGAGACCATGAAGGCAGGCCTTTTTTGAAACTAACTGATTGTGATATTCCGTTGGCTCAGGAGTCAAACTACACTTGGAAATTCCAAATTGTCAAAGATTTTGATGAATTGTGGTATTTTGGCGCCGGCACTGTGGCGCGGTTTCGGATCAAGGCGATGGCATACTCTTGTTTAAGTTGCGAAACTAAGCCCTGTGACACAGTTTTTTTAGTGATTTGGAGTATTTTAGCGCGGGCACCAAGACGTTTCGGGCCAATCGGATAAGACATTCGTGTTCAGGAAAGTCAAACTACACCCAGGATTCCACTTTTTAGCCAAGTCTACCCTGGAAAACAAGTCGGGTCAAAAACTGAGTTGTTTCGAAAGACTGGAGGTAAAGGGCAAATTTGTGGCGCACAAGGTCGCAATTCAGCCAGAAGTATACCAACAACACACGATGATGTGCTCCTCGTTACCGGGAAACGGGCAAGGAGAATTGTAATGCCGCTCCGCTGGGCGCGGCGACGGAGCGCGGCGGAGTGGCAAATTAACGGCTTCTTCGTTTTTCTAAAACTGGTGTTAGCCCGTCGATTACAACCACCGGATTTCACGCTGGGCTAGCTAACTAGACATTTATGATATTTTCGGTCCTACATTGCCAATTGTACCCAGAACCATCGTTATTTGCGAGCACGACGTCGCACGCGACGCCCATCAGCGCGGCGAACTACGATTCTCTTCTCACATACCCTTCTGTTCCGGACCTTTCCTTATATTTCTAATGGAACGTAAAAACGTGCTTTCTGAGAATGAAGCGCTATGTTAAGGTATGTAGCAGGACTAAATAAATTAGAAGTTAAAAGTAAGCGGCAGTTGGTTAGGCATAACATGTATGCTGAAAACAAAGTAACAACGAAATTGAACTAAAAATAAGAAAACGAAGAATTTGACGAAATAAGGCGAGATGTAAGGAAGTCATCATGAATGGTTAGAAGAAATACAGTTCCAGGGAACTATTCCCTTGACCTGTTAAACGTTCTCACTCTCCCCCTCCCCTTATCCATCTGAGGGTCACCGACGAAGCGTTTTGGGTGACCATTCGGCCCAATAAGTGCTCAGAGCTTTAAGAATGTTAATTCCGAGCCAGGGGGTGTTACCAAACACGGGTTGTCGTATTAAGTAAGGTCCCCATTGCTACCTATTTCTGGGTGTTATGTTCGTACACTCTTCAACATTTTTAAGCCTTGCGCTTCTTGGTCCCTCAGAATCCAAAAGAAGCAAGTACAGTGTTGGCTCCACAAATGTTCGTTTTGTGCGCTGGCTGTTTCATTGATATGACTCGTTTTAGCATACTTGAATGCTATGACGAAGCTGTCCGATATAAGCTGATTCACCCTGATAAGCCACGCAATCCTTGGATTTCGACTCGTTTAGGTAGATTTAGAAAGACGAGTCAGGCATATTATCGCACTTGTCTTACGAAAATGTTTCATGGAAAATCGAATTTTGAGCTGGTATGTTAAGAGCTATTCGTAAGCTCCAAGTAGAGAATGTATCGAAAAAAACTCATTACTAGATAAATTCCACTTCAACAGTGAACTGTCCGGGACAACGTCTTTCGGAGCTCTAGAAAAAAATGAGCTGGCTTGCTTTCACAGAGACGTCTTGGCACTTCGCAGTTCATAAAAATCTCCAAAAGTTTTTATAATAAAATTCAGTCCCAAGGAGCTGGTACCGAACCTCCAAAGGGACAAAATTTCAGAGCTCCGGACATTTATAAAGTTAAACCGCAGTTTCTACAGACAACGCCAAGAGGAAGAGTCCCTTCCCGTGATCAGTACCCCGGCCTGATCGTAATAGACGAATTTGCTCGGAGAAGTGATAGCGTTAAATCAGAGTCGGCGCCAGTTTGACCCTGAATATGGTATCAGCGTCAAAACGAAGCCCATTTTTGTCATCGGGGCCCTTCGACAACTCTTAGGCACGCGTATATAACGAACTTGATGAAAAAGTGATAGCGACAAGATGGCGCCGGTGCAAGTCTAGTGTCAAAAATATTCGTAATCTGGACTGAAATAACCGGAGCACGTTGCTACTAATATGTGCCAAAATGACTACTACTAATAAGGCCAAAGTGACGGGCACGACTCCCCCCCCCCTTCCACAGCACCTACCTACCAATTTCCCACATTTTCCAGTCCAGTTTTCCACCAAAAATTTTCCGTCGAACGGGCTATATAGTACACAGGAAACAGTCAAAATCACGCGAAAAGTCAACAACCGGCAAAAACTTTTCCCGACGCAGCGAACGAAAAAGCGAAACGTAAAAACGCTCCTCGCCACAAACGCAAATACGACCCCTTCTCCCCCAACGACCAAATACGACCCCCTATGTGCGTCACACAACGATGCTGTACCCTGACCAGGGTACTCAATAACCCCCACCATGAAGTTTTCCCTGAGATCCGGAGGTAGTAGTACTCGGTAACGTTTTCCAGGAGAGACGCAGTTCTTGGGATCCACTACAGTTCAATAGCCATGAGATTTCTGCGAATTAAAATTCTATTATAAATACCTTGCTAGAATACATAACTCCGTTCGACCTGGAAGTTTAGATTCGCCGGCAGTAGTAAGGCCAACTTCTCCCGAACGCTCACTCACTGAGAAGTGATCGAATTCTTGAGTACCTGAATGTTTATTTTTCAGCTTTTTTTCTATCTCGCGTGGTTGCCGTTTAGATTGCAGAGCAGAGAGCCCAGCCAACCAACTTCATTGCAGAAAGATAACTCACATTTTGGTAGGAGGTAGTAGTGTAGAGCATCTCTCTTTCCTTTTGCAGCGGAGACACGTCCAATGGTCATTTCCGTGGGATTAGAGGACTGCGGAACAGTGAAGATCGTGGTTGCACCCTACAAAAAGAGCCATTTGGGGAGAACTAGCAAAATAGGGAACGTGACTAACCTTGGGAAATTCAGGAGGGACATCGTCGACGTCTTCAACGGCGACTCGAAGCACTCGTGATGCGTTCTTACTCGGATCGAACACATTCCAAGCAGTCACCACAAGCTTAACAGGATGAGCTTTAAGGAGAATCAGTGTGGGCACTTGTTACGCCGAGGCGTTCTTCCATCCTGGGAGACGACATGAAAGCTTCCTCTTTCCTTCCTTTCCGTCTCTCCGTCGATGCACAGAAGTATTTGGATCAATACTTGTAGAGAAAATAGTGAATTCTTTATACAACACCCGAAGAATGTAGAAGCTTTGGAAGTATCATCGCTAGATTTTGTTTCGTCTATCAAAAAAAATAAGTGAAATAACAAATATGTGCTATGGATGGACGAAATGGCAAAAAATACAAATAATAAAAATATCATGCAAGAACGTCATGGGATTGGTGTCTGATACCATAAATAGAGAGGCCAATGATGTTGAATGAGACAAGAGAATGAGTACGGAGCTTCGCATGATCGTTGTCGAGTAGTAGGACCGAAGTCCGAGGTTGAACTGGAGCTGGAGTGAGCTTCCAATAGGGTGCATGCCATTCGGGTGTCTCCGAATGAACGAACGGTAACAGACGATGATAATACCGTTGATAGACCCCTGAAAATAAGGAGTTTTCTTTTTTTCCCTAGAAAAATGGGGATGTGGACTCGTCAGGGAAAGAGATGTTGGGACAACAAAAACAACATACCATGGCTTATTTGGCCATCTTCTAAGATCAACAATTGTTTGCTCGTTTAACGGGTTTTTCATACCTTGGCCATCAAAACAGTCCGTTTGCCTTTCGACTTAATCGCATTAGCTCTGCATAAGGAAAACTCTGAGAATGGACGCGCCACAGGAGGTCGCACGATGGTCATGGGAACCTTTGAGGACTGGCTGGCCAGACGATCGCCATTGTCAGCCCATGGCTTCAATGCTTTCCAAAAACTAGTACAATGTTGGAGAGCAGAAAAATAAAAAACCAATAAAACTAGCTTTGTTTCCATTAGTAATTCAAAAAATCGGTGACGACTGCGTGAAAATGATAAGGCCATCGGCGCTGACTGGCCCTTCTTCGGAGTGAGCCGCGCTTTTCACTTAAGAACCCTAATGAGATTTGTTTGGAAACTGGCCTACATAATGACTTACGAAGGAGTCCAAACACAGCTGAGGGTTTCCTCCTTTTGAAAAGTATGGCTCCACTTATCCCTTGCAGCAAAAATACAAGGTTTCGTTTACCTAAACGCGAGGTAATCGCAGATCTCACATTGTTGGAAGCTGAACTATTTGTCACTACGCCAGATCCGCTTCAGCTACAGAGACGAGCCGAAATAAAGCTACCAGGTAGGGTCAGTCGGAATGACCCGTCTAATGGTCGTGGATTCCGCGACTGAGGGTAATGGAGAGCCTAGCATTTTCTTTGATGTCTTCCGAAAAAAAATGCAAGGCTTCGTTAGCCTCAACAGGAGCCGATCAGGCGTTGACATGCAGGATAAAAAGGTGTACGCTTTACAGCTGTCAGAAATAAAGTCACAATGTGTGCAAGCCAAAGAAAAAACCTTCAAGGTTAAGGTTTGAGAAGTGAAGAAATAGTCTGATTTCAAGCCAACCCTTTTGTGATGATTTATTTGAATCCGTGGTCCTGTGTCCGATTAAAACCTGCTTTGCCTGAAGTCATTCCGGTCAGTGATCGTTATGCAACAAGAATAAGACGCTTCAGTTATGGAGCATAGTATGAGAATTACGAAGCTTGCGAAGAAACGGAGTTCTCATTCAATCTGTTGTCTGTCTGTCTGTCTGTGCTCTGTCTGTTCGTTGTCTGTCTGTCCTGTCTGTCAATGTTTCTGTCTGTCTGTCTGCTCTGTTTCGCGTCTGTGTTTCTGTCGTCTTTCACGCGCATATCTGTACAGCAGGGGGGCCAAAAAAGTCATTCCGGCCGAGTCACATATGAGCGAAGTTTTCGCAGCCCAGACAGAGGAAGTGGATATGAGTACCAGGGCGGAAGATACCCAAGATCTTCCTCTATAAGCAGGAGCCGGCTGCCGCCATTCACCTTCATGTACACCAAAATATGAAGTCATCTCCAGTCGCGGCCTGAGTGAACGCCTTTGGAATTCACGTGGCCTCCAAACAGCTGCGGAACTTCTTGAATGGAATCACCCATGGATAGCTACCTGGAGACCAGTACTCTTGATCTGCAAGACCTCAAACATCGAGCAGCTCCGGCAACGTCGCTACGGTCCAGGACATCATCTTCACCACAGTGCACAAGGCCGGGTTGATGGTGTGGACCGGCCGTACCTGGAATGGGAAGACCGATATTTTCTTTGTAGACCCCGACTGAAGGTGAGCGCTGGCGGTTACATCAAGTAACTCGAGAAGGATATCCTCCCTACATGTGGTCCCGTACCTTCTTGGAGACCTTGTGCTGCTACAGGTTTGGGTGCCACCACATGGAATCGAAGGGTTTTGGAAAAACTCCCGCCTACTTCGAAGGGAAGGGGGCCGTTTTCGTACCTGATGAAAGAGTAATTTGAGTAGGGGTCCTGAACTAAACCCCCTCAATTACTCGGTTCGGGCGGAGCTCAACAGGGTGGTCTACAGTGGCGGAGAAATCAACGATCTCGCTCAACTCCGGTACCCACTCACTTCGCGCGGCCGAATCTCTCGATGGCGCTCCTCCAGAAGGCTGTGGCGGAGTATCATTATAGTATTTAATGTGCTCTTTAATATGGTAGTAAAAATGTCCGATAAAAATTTATAAAGTGTAACTTATAGCGTTCTTGAAAGTCTGGAGGAAAATGACCTTTTTTTTTGGCCCCGCTGCTAATGATTGCCAGACCAGTGGAGTTCTTACCACCATCTTACCATCTCACGCTAGTCGCAAGTAAGTTTGCCATTGGCGACCACAATGAGCACTTAGGCGGTTAATGGACAACACGGGTGAGGCAAGGCTCAGGTCGTAAACTTGCAAAGTACCTGTTGCATGCTTCCAAACCGCAAAAAAGGGAGCAGCATCCCTTGTAGGAGAGCCGGTTACCTTGTTGGTGTTCAAACCACTAATTGGACTAGGCCACATGAAGCTGCTTTAGGAATGGGGGCGGTGTATGAATAGGTCTGGGTAACCTATGTTATAATTTACGACGACAGTTGACGTTTCTGATCCCGTTAGGGTAGTGTCGCTATGATGTTTTACAAGAGCTAACGGATCAGTACAATTACGCTATGTTGCACTGATGAAGGGGTAGTCTTCGTAACAACCCCTTTATTTTGAAGGGCTGCCGAGCCTAACAATTACCTGCAGTTCAAGCAGTTTCGTCCATACTGGATGGAGTTTAAAGCGGAGATGGTGTGGCGGCAACTGGCTCGCATACCAAGCCGCGATCCAGAGTTCAAATCCCAGATCGACTTCCGCTCAGGCCAAACAAGCCTCCTATTCTGTACCAGATTCGTCTGGGAGGATAAGAACACTGACTCACACATTGATGGACCCTCGCAAGTCGTTGTGTAGGCAACTTAGCATTCATTAAGTCCTACTAATCTGGAAGTAACGTGCGCATCCTGACTGTGTTATTCGAATAGGGTCATATAAATGACTGGGCAGTGACTCCCATCAATAATATCAATTACCACCTTTTCGCGAGACAAAACTGGATGAATTATAGGTGAGCGAAACAAATGAAACTTCTTCTGGTTTTGACAAATTTCCTGTCCCCAAGTCACTTAAGTGAACTGTAGCGAGCGTGAACAGATGGCACTCCAGCCAAGACACGTCCTACTGCTGGGGGAAATTTCTGGGAAACATGGTCCTCTGCTCATTTTTGTCCTCTGATACGACCCCTTCCGCATCCTCCCTACCACTTCTATTTCGTAGATCTTCCTTGACTTCCCAGTTTCCTACCTCCCTGCTGCGATTTCCAATTTCAGAAAATTTTCCACTTTTCACCAAAACTTTAGTGTCGAGTAAGGGGGGGGGGGCAAATTTCCCTTGAAAAGCAAATGCGACCCCCTATTCCCCAACATGAAAGCACCAGTGAAACAGGGAGAATCGACCACCTAAATAATTTTTCTCACAGGCAAATACGAGCCACTCGCGCTCAGCGACTACGACCCCCATCGATGCTGAAGATTCCCCAACTTTCCCTTGAACACCGATTTTTATGCAAACATGCCCCTTATGCGAATGGCTTTTGAATCTGATTAAATGAATAGGGCGGCAGCGCGAAGGAAAAACTAACAGGTTACCTTGTACAGTTTGAAGTTCGTTGTCACTGAAAATGTTCTCCTCGGTTTTCGCCTCAGCCATTCGTATCGGTAATGCCTCTCTGGACCCTTGTAGGTAGAGAATTCGACGGTTATTTTCGAGAAGTGAACGGAGCATTTGTTGCTTAAGACTGAAATAAAACAATCAGGGAGAGGGTTTCTTATAAAGGACCGATATCACCGACACTAGCTCCTGTTTTCTGCATCGTCTTGCTAGGGGCACGGAGAAGTGAAGCTCGGAGGCGATGACCAACATCTTCCGCCCAACAAACCAGCGATCAAACTCAGCCAGAATGTCATCGAGGAGCACTCCCAAACCAGCGTGTGCTGCCTCGAACACGCACGTAACACATTTGGATTTGTAGACATTTCTGCTGGAAAAACCACCCTTTACCTTGAACATGACCCTTTCACCTGAAGAAATTCGAACTCAAACTCCGAACACCTTAAAAAGGACTCCATTGTTTCGTACGATTGCGCCTCACGAGGCCGATAGCCAATGTTAGATGAGGCCCAGACGTCTCCATGTGAAGCGTGCAATCGCTTTCTTGGAGTGGATCGCTTTTTGTGTAGATGTCCATGGGGTCGACCAAGACTCGGAGACCTTCAAAACGAACACTTCGTTCGCGGATCATCAACTACGGTCGTGTCACACGATTTGTTCCATTTAGCGGGCAATGTAAACGACAGTCTGTTCATGGACACTCTCGCAAAAACACATATGCCGACCCACCTCTGTTGTCGGAGAGTCTCTGAACTGCTCGAGATTTCCCAGGGCGAATTGGTCAGATAGCCGCTTTCACGACTGAGGCATAGCTGAGAGAAGAGTCAAGTATGACCGGGGAGTTTGGAAGAAGACATAAAGAAGAACTCACCTTATCAAAGTCGTTGCTTTTCAGTCGAGGGATAGAAAGCTGCGGAAGAGATGAGAGGAAGGAGAACTGATCCATAGGCTGTCGCAAATCGAGATTGTCCAGATCGGTGACGGTAGAACTGTCTGACGGGGGAGCCGACTCAGCTAAGATCAAGCTTTGCAAAGATCTGAGCTTGGCGTAGGCATAGAGTCGGACCAAAGCTCGAGAGAGATCCTTCGACCGGCTATTCCGCGAAGGTGTTGAGTCACTCTGGTGACGATGTCGAGTCGAAGGCGACACGTTTTTCGCTTTCGCTGTTTTGTTGTTCAATACGACAACGTCGTCACAAGGCGGCGACGACGAGCTTTCGTCCTTTTTCGAGCGCCGCTCCCTCCGTCGTCCACCGCCAAGCCGACGCCATAGTCGCGCGAGCCGTCGCTCCAGCTTATCCATACTCAAATTGGCCCTCTGTCAGTTTGAAAGATAGTGACCTGAAGAAATATCACGAAACACTGTAAAGGAACAAAATGAATAAGAAGCGTTTAGGAAAGTGTGACCTGTTGAGTTGGCGTTAAACTGGGATGGAAGAGCAGGGTGGGCGGCACCCACACTTCGGGGGTCCACGTTCTCTAACTGAAAGCAGGGGATTCCGTCATAACCCGCGACATTATAACGGGATTGGCAAACAAATCGAAACGAAACTAAGCAAGAGCAAAATCAACAATACGAAGGCAGAAGCAGGAAAAGGATGACTCAATGATAGGGGGGATACATGCTGTTCGTCCAGTGAGGGCCGATCACAGTGCAGAACGCTGGCACAAGAGGGGGAACTGTTGCCCAGAACGTTCTTCGATCGACCAATGCTTCGGCTCATAGGTGATTACGGGTGGAAAAGCGGCACGAAAAAGTTAAAACCTGGCAGAAAGGTAAACAGAAAAACGCGTGTACAAGTTGTTTGCTGAAGATAAGATCTTTGAAATCAACCACGCAATGCAAACAAGGATGATACCCGGGATTGTGGTCGATTGTTGGGGCCAACCTATGCAAAAACTTTGTTCGTTGGATGACTGAGCGATTACCAGTTTGATAGGTCTTGATAGAAGTTGCAAAGGAAGATTGAAATCATGCGATGACACCAGAAACAATATTTTCAGAAGAAATCTTGATAAAAGGCGACTGTCGACAAACAATGGTGACGTTGCCAAACAAGGGGCAAGGGTTGAGTCGCCGAAGGAACGCGGAAAGAGATGGAGGGATAACGGAGGCTCGGAGTGTCGACTGAGGACAGTTATGTACTTTTTGCTTACTGCTGATGGCTCCGACCGAGATTTAGGTGTTCGCCATTATTCAAAGAGGCGACTGCGAGACATCTGGCAAAAAGGGATTGGGCGAGGAAGACCATGAGTGATCACTCCTCTCTGACCAGACCACTTCGTATGCTGGGGAATTTCCGGGGGAGGGGGTCGTATTTAGTCTGAAAAAATCCATTTGGTTAGTTTTCTCGTTTCACGCACGCTACAAGAGGGGCTCGTATTTGGTCTTTGTTGGAAGAAGGGGCAGGTTCCTACTTTCCTTTGAGAGAGGTTTGAGGCGTTGGGAACAATTTTTCCCTGATTTTGATTTTCTGGTGATTTTCCCATTTCAAACGAGTTATATATTCCCTAGTTGGTGACGCCGCCAAAGTTCTATACAAGTGCTATTTCTGATACTTGAAAGTAGTAGTTGGTTGCTGACGCCTCTCCCCCCTCCTCCCGCTTGAGAGCAATTCTTTGGGGACAAACTAGGAGATTTTCGGGAAATTCCTGAAAACTGGTAGGAAGTTGGGAAGGTCTAGGAATTCGGTAGGTAGGATGGGAATGAGGGGATCTTGTCAGAGGAGGAAACTAGAGGTCGTACTTTCCGAAAATTTTCCCCAGCACCTGCATGATGTGCCCTGTCTGTGAGTCCTCGAACAAAGCAGGGGTACCCTCCGACAAGTGGAGAGCATAAAACCGATCGGCAAAGGGGGTTACGAAATGTCCAGCGACAGCAGAACAAACAAATCTGAACGTCTCCAATCAAATTCCAATTATCAGCGGTTCAGACGGGCAAACACAAACACACATGAAGGCGGTGACGCAACAGTTCAATAGCGATATCGAACGAACAGGTGTAGGGGCCCACAAAAATGATTGATATTTCAGGAAGATTGCGTTTATTTGGCGAATACAAGGGGAAAGAAGACGTATGCCATTTTTCTTCTGGGGGAATGTCAAAATAGAAAGTTTCTAAAAGTTGCTAAAAGCAAAGCTCATTGGGATGTGAAACCTCCTAGATCACAAGACCATCCATCAACCGTTTTCACGGCTCGTTCATTTATGACCAAAAACCAGTGAAACCAGTGACGGTCACACAAAGCGCCCTTGTGAGACATAAACATAAACGATATAAAACCCCATCACGGTTCTCAAGGAGCAATCAATTTCACAAGCAAGAGCCGCGTTAGCGGATGACAATGCCGATGGCGTGGCTGGCTGCAACACTGGGGTGGGTACCTGCACACGGTCTGCTGGTGGGTGGCTGGCTGCGGTACAGCGAAGTGTTCGCAAAAACAGAATCCGCCCATCAATGCTGACACTTTCCGTCATATGCTATGTGACATCTGTTGAAAACGTGTGAAACTCGCCCGCGTAACTGTGAAAGGCCTCAAAACGGTATCGAACGTGAACGGGGGTGATTGACCCATACGTCAATGGTATGGGACAACTGGAGTCCAACTACCAAGTAACTAATTGACAATTGTAAGTTGAGAACTGCAAGACGATTTTTGATCAAGGATGAGCGGGAAAAGCAGGAAAGGAGGTCTCAAAGTTTCAGAAAGGAGAACACGAAACCCAAGATGGCTAATTGAAGGACATAATAGAAGGACAACTATAAACTATAGCAAAAGATTTCGATCGGAGCACTTGATACACCATCTGGCTGGCTCAGCGAAGGAATTACTACAAGTCACTAATATAAGGACGCGTTAAGGAAGTTGAATAGGTAAGAAAAAAGAAAACGACTCAATAAAAGCCAGTTAAAATTTCTCCTCAGACCCTCATAAGAGCGGGGTATCAGAATAGAACCGCGTTTGCGATGCTCTACCTAGTACATATTGAAAACTTATGGTAGTAATGCGCTAACTGGTAAGTCTCCACCTCTGGTTCCGGGACCACGTAAATATCAACGAACGGCTCGGGACGATGAAACACTCCGGAAAAGGTCTACAACACCGTTACCCACACCACATCTCACAAGAGTTTCTGAAGAAGGCATATTTTTCTTCTTTTTTTACTTCCTTCACAAGTACTTCCTTCACAAGCTTGATTTCCTTCCTAGGTCTTGGAACTGTATAGGTGGAAGGCTCAGCAGTGACCTTAGGCAACGAGTTGCCCAAAGGCTTCATTAGAGGTAAAAACACTGAGAAAATGAAGCTGGAAAAGTTCTGATGCAACGAATTGTCTGAGCGACAAGGTTTCTGCGTGGATCAATCCCTTCCGGGTGCGCCACGCATTTCACTTCTATTAACGGTAGCGACGTTTTGAATTGAACTTTGAACCACATTATGGCTAGCGAGGCTAGCCGTTGTTTGAACCCACTTTTTCTATCAGGCCTGTTACCAATTAGCCGCACCGTGAAGGTTCAATGGCTTGTCTGGCCCGCATGAGAGCAACCTTTATCACGTAGATGGCGAACTGGCGCCACTTTCCCACTAAACCTAAACCGTGTACATACGGCCTGGATAACTTTTATAGACAACTTCCACGATTGCATATTCAAGATGTTGCCGTTCAATCACAAACATGTAGTCCGCTGACTCCAAGAAAGGAAAAATCCAAATAATTATCGGATGATACCGATAACAGCCTAACTGAGGACGTAATGGCAGCCTCATTGTACAAATTTTCCGGACCTGCTCGTTATATACCAGTTACTGGCTCATTAGTCGCTTCTTCTCATTAGTCGCCATCCAATGCCAATATCAACTAACAGTGAGAGAAAAAACGAAAAACACCGTGGAAAAACTGAACTCGCCACAGAAATAGCATTCCAGTTTCGGTGGACGTGACAACCACGGAGGCGTCAGAGTTATTATGAGGGCCGCAGGCCCTTTCTATCTGGTAAGTGCAACATTCTTGCGGAGAACCCGGAACCAGGGGCTACCTGGACAAGGAAGGATGCCTACAAATTGGTTAAGTCTGGCGAGTTTGCGACGCCTTCAAATACAAGTGGCAGCGATAAAGTCCACCGATACGCCTAGCAGGACGGAATTCGCAGCCCCGACCAGGTGCGCTACGTGGCGGCCATTACGCCAGGGAAGCTTTAGGGCCCGTCAAGCTGCAACATACCGACCCGGACGCTCAGCGCACCCGCCCGCCCACAAAAGGACGACCCTACCTGGTGCTCGTTTTGCTTCATTTGCGAAGCAAAATGTGAAGAGAAGGGATTGACATGAAGCGGCTCCCGTGCTGCATGGATATTGAGCACATACATGCATCCGTATCTACCGTAGCGGTTATTGGCAAGATGCCTACGGGAAACTCGTCCGAAATTGCTTTTTGAGTCATTAAGAACGAAGAATTTTCTTCGCGGATTTTTGGCCGCTTTATTCGTTTCTTCGTTTTTCGCCATTTCCCCACTTCATACATCCTTGCTAGCATTTCAGATCGAGTACCAAATTATCGTGCCTATGCCTTTAAATGCAGTTGGCACGATAAATCCCTAAAAACGAGTAGGATTGATACGAGTGGCAGGGCGGATTTCCGCGACCCTGAGTAGGCGCTGCATAGCGGTTTTTCCGAGGGAGGTACCCTTATAAGGGTCCTATCAAGCTACAACATTCCGACCCAAACGCCCGCCCGCCCACAAATGGACGACCTTACCAGATGCTCGTTTTGCTTCATTTGCTAAAAATATAAAGCGAAGGGATTAGTATGAAGCGGCTGCGGTGCTGAATGGATATATGAGTACATACAGGCAGCCGTACCTGCCGGAGCGGTTATTTGCAATACGCCTACGGGAAACTCGTCCGAAATTGCTTCTCAAGAACGAAGGCTTTTCTTCGCAGTTTTTGACCGTTTCACTTCGTTTTTTCGCCATTTTACCACTAGATAGCGCCCTGCTAGCATTTCAGGCTGAGTACCAAATTATCGTGCCAACTGTTTTTAAGCTTCATTTAACTTGAAAGTTTGAATTGTTTGATTGACTGGGGGTCCTCACGAGTTCATTCGACAGCGACCTTTCCACACATCGGCATTCACCACAGTGATATGAACAGTGGTTCTTGTTGAAACTGATTCAGTACTTAGCAGTAGAACCCCTTTCGTCGATGCGGTGCGAACAAAGACGAATATTCTCGTCGCCACTTTTTTGAAAAGATCGTGATGCATCCTATTGCTGCACGACAATGATTTATACAGTCGAGCGAAACC